AACCATTGATACAAGGCAGGATGGATCTCCCACACCATGACACCACCACCAGCCTGAACCATTGATACAAGGCAGGATGGATCCATCAAACCATGACAACACCAGTCTGAACCATTGATACAAGGCAGCATGGATCCACCACACCATGACACCACTACCAGCCTGAACCATTGATACAAGGCAGGATGGATCCCCCACACCATGACACCACCACCAGCCTGAACCATTGATACAAGGCAGGATGGATCCATCAAACCATAACAACACCAGTCTGAACCACTGATACAAGGCAGCATGGATCCCCCACACCATGACACCACCACCAGCCTGAACCATTGATATAAGGCAGCATGGATCCACTACACCATGACACCACCACCGCCAGCCTGAACCATTGATACAAGGCAGGATGGATCCACCACACCATGACACCACCACCACCAGCCTGAACCATTGATACAAGGCAGGATGGATCCCCCACACCATGACACCACCATCACCAGCCTGAACCATTGATACAAGGCAGGATAGATCCCCCACACACCATGACACCACCATCACCAGCCTGAACCATTGATACAAGGCAGGATGGATCCCCCACACCATGACACCACCAGCCTGAACCATTGATACAAGGCAGCATGGATCCCCCACACCATGACACCACCACCACCAGCCTGAACCATTGATACAAGGCAGGATGGATCCATGCTTTCATGTTTATTACGTCAAATTCTGACCCTACCATCTGAATGTCGCAGCTGAAATCCAGACTCATCAGACCAGGCAACGTTCTTCCAATCTTCTATTGTCCAATTTTGGTGATCCTGTGTTAATTGTAGCCTCCGTTTTCCTGTTCTTAGCTGACAGGAGTGGTACCCGGTGTGATCTTCTGCTGCCCCATCAGCTTCAAGGTTGGACATGTTGTGCATTCAAAGATGGTATTCTGCGTACCTTGGTTGTAATGAGTGGTTATTGGAGTTACTGTTGCCTTTCCATCCTCTGGAACCAGTCTGCCCATTCTCCTCTGACCTCTGACCTCAACAAGGCATTTTCCTCCGCACAACTGCCACTCACTGGATATTTTCTCTTTTTCGGACCATTCGCTGTAATCCCTAGAGATGGTTGGCGGGAAAATCCCAGGAGATGCATTTTATGAAATACTCAGACCAGCCCATCTGGCACCCAACAACCATGCCACGGTCAAAGTCACTTAAATACCCTTTCTTCCCCATTCTGATGCTCGGTTTGAACTTCAGCAAGTCATTTTCACCACGTCTAGATGCCTAAATGCTTTGAGTTGCTACCATGTGATTGGCTGTTTAGCAATTTGTGTTACCAAGCAATTGCACAGGTGAACCTAACAAAGTGGCCGGAGAGTGTATATATATATATATAAATATTTTATAGATTTATCTATTAGATTTTCAAATGGACATTGAATACAAGGTACAGCCTTGACTGAGACATACGGCTGTTGAAGGACATACGAAGGAGCACATCATACGCTGTCTACTTTCAGGCGCTCTGTGTCTACTTCTGACCAGGCAGGAAGGTAGAAGAGTGATCCCGCTAATTAATATACTTATGTGTAAATTGTAGCTTGGGCTACTGAGCTCTGTGAACCATTAGGCTTGGCTTGGTGCAACAGAGGAACTAAGGGGAGCCTGGAAAATCATGAATAGGACTGAGAGCTCCATCAGCTGTCTGCAAAAAAAACCCACGACATTTTGCAACACGCAATATTTTTTAAATTAATGAAAAATTATAAACAGATAAAATGTGTATTCTAAGATAAAACTGTGGATAGAGTTTAGATCAGAACCTCCCAGTTTTTGTCATGCTGGCTGTGTCCACACTGGGGTGGCTTAGAGCCTTTGTTGATGGGAATCAGCTTGAGAGATCATTCAGCATTCACTGATGGGTGCTCCTGCAGATGACCTCCTTCAAGTGGATTTTGGATCCTTAGAGACTTGTATGGAAATGAAAAACCTGATCATAAGTCCACTGACACAGGTCCATATTCCCTCTACTTGGCTTTGTCACCTGGACTGGAAGAAAAAATCCACATTTCAAGTGGCACCAGAACAAGAATGGAATGGGAATCCTCCAATGGGGGTGCTTGTGCTGGTGACAACTGTCTACATTAGCCATTCTCAACCAGGGTTCCTCCAGAGCTTGGATGGAGTTCCTTGAGCTGTGGATAAATTAACTCCCTTTTGATGGTGTCTGAATAGTTCCAGGGGCCAGTGCTACAATTGGTGTCATGCAGACTAGCCAGCTGCATGACACCAATTGTCTTTTTAGCTGTCTGTGCAGGGGCATTCTGACTGCTAATGTGAGGAGCATCCTTCCCACTGATCACCAATGTAAGGGACATTCTTCCCACTGACCCCCAATGTAAGGGACATTCTTCCCCCACTGACCCCCAATGTAAGGGACATTCTTCCCAATGACCCCAATGTAAGGGACATTCTTCCCACTGACCCCCAATGTAAGGGACATTCTTCCCACTGACCCCCAATGTAAGGGACATTCTTCCCACTGATCACCAATGTAAGGGACATTCTTCCCACTGACCATCAATGTAAGGGACATTCTTCCCACTGACCCCCAATGTAAGGGGCATTCTTCCCACTGACCCCCAATGTAAGGGACATTCTTCTCACTGACCCCAATGAAAGGGACATTCTTCCCACTGACCCCCAATGAAAGGGACATTCTTCCCACTGACCCCCAATGAAAGGGGACATTCTTTCTTCCCACTGACCCCCAATGAAAGGGACATTCTTACCACTGTCCCCCCCCAATGTAAGGGGACATTCTTCCCACTGACACCAATGTAAGGGGCATTCTTCCCACTGACCCCCAATGTAAGGGACATTCTTCCCACTGACCCCCAATGTAAGGGACATTCTTCCCACTGACCCCCAATGTAAGGGACATTCTTCCCACCACTGACCACCAATGTAAGGGACATTCTTCCCACTGACCTCCAATGTAAGGGACATTCTTCCCACTGACCACCAATGTAAGGGACATTCTTCCCACTGACCTCCAATGTAAGGGACATTATTCCCACTGACCTCCAATGTAAGGGACATTCTTCCCACTGACCCCCAATGTAGGGACATTCTTCCCACTGATCACCAATGTAGGGACATTCTTCCCACTGACCCCCAATGTAAGGGACATTCTTCCCACTGATCACCAATGTAAGGGACATTCTTCCAAATTTTCTTTATTAAAAGTCTCGCAATCAATAAACATACAATATTATACAGAATATAAAAAAATTATATATATTTACAGCAAAACGAAAATAAACATAGCAAAATCTGCTGTCAGACAAAAGCAAACGTCTCAGAAATGAACTTGACATAATTGGGGAAATAAATCGTACTACCACTCACATCACTACACCAGACATCAAACCTGTGAGGTCAAGAAACCACCCCGCCCCCCCTTATGCATGCAGCCCTTCTTCAAAAAAGATCTTAATCAACAAAAACTATGGGAGTGAAAAGAACAGTATAAGGAAAGACCCCTTACCCAGAGATGGACAGTTCACCAAAGGCAGGTCTGATATTCCTCCACGCCCTTATCCAGACCGCCCGAGGCTCCCTGCCCTTCTCAAGACCCCGAATCTTCCCAACCTCACCCAGAATATCGCGCACACCACCACCTCTACAGGGAGGACTTTCTTCCGGTGGTAATCTGACACCGTGCGTTCCATGTGAAGTAACGGACAACTATACTAACTAGAAAAAAGTGTATCCAAATCAAAGTCCCAGCGAGCTGGGAATGCCCCGTACACCCCACTCTGCATAACTCATGCGATAGAGAAAGGGGATGCCCAGAGCCCTCCCCACCCTTTTATACACCTCTATGTTAAAAGGGACACTGGAGCAGAAAGTGGTCCATAGACTCCACTTTACCAGCACACTCTGCTCTAGGACAATCCCGATCATCCACAGGGCGGTGCTTCAGGTTCCCTCTCACATAGAGCCTTCCATGAAAAGCGAGCCAGGCTTGATCCCTAAACTCTTCAAAGGGATTCTCTCCAAGTTAATTAAACGCAATCCCTCCCTCCTCATTACGGAAGCCTGGGCAATCCTTTAAGGCCAGTGACACACTGAAAGCAGAAGCCAAAATCCTCTCCCCCAGAAGCTTCCTGGGAAGGGACCTGATATCCTCCACTGTCACCTGCCACTGCCGAAGTATTTTCAGACACGGGGCAACATAAGCCGGGAGCTTGCCATGTCGGACTCTTAGACTTTTCACTGGGCCGCCATCTTCCCACAATGCAGAAAAGGCCCTAAACCAAGACTGAAAAATACCCACCCATCCCGGCGGGGTCTCTGCTAACATATTACCAAGATATGTACTTTAAAAAGAGCAAAGAAAAGAAAACTATCGGGTTGACCATTCCTAGGCCACCCTCCCGCCTGGACAGGTAAGTTACATTGCGTTTGATCAGGTTCTCAAGCCTGTTTCCCCATAACAGTTGGAAAAAACAGCTGTAGACCGGTGCATAGAGAGATACCGGCAAGATACGACGAAGCTGACATATAAAAAGATCGGGATCAGGTAAGTTTTGATCAAGTCAACTCTCTCTCTTAACAAAAGCCTCCATCTCTTCCAGCTCGCTACTTTGGCATTGGCAACTACCAACCTGCTTTCCCAGTTTCGATGACCATAGTCACCAGGACCAAATTTGATGCCCAAAATTTTAATTTCCTGCTGGGGCTCTGGGAAGGCATCCGGAAGTTCGAAGCTTTCATCCCTCCTCACCCATCCAGAAAACTTCACTCTTTTCATGGTTGACTTTAGAGCCAGAAGCCTCCGTGTGTACTGCTCTATCACAGAGACCACCTCCTGCGCCTCCTCAGTCCCAGACATAATAACAGACACATCATCAGCATAGGCCACGACCTTCAAAGGTGGCGCACCAGCAATGCCCAGAGGCACCCCGCACAACGATGAGCCCTCTAGCCTTCTTACAAAGGGGTCGATTGCGAAAGCATATAGCAGGGGGGGCTCAAAGGACATCCCTGGCGCACACCAGAGCCGACCTCAAAAGGCCGCCCAACCCAACCATTAACAAGTGGGAAGCTCTCAGCCCCTCTATATAATGTCTTCAGCCAATCTATAAACCTCCCCTGCAGGCCGTATCTACCAAGCAGCAACCACAGATATTCACGATTCACTTGATCAAAAGCTTTTGCCTGATCCAATGCCAGCAAGTACTTTCTCCATCCAGCAGCCCTGCATCGTTCCAAAGCCTCTCAGATAGCCAAAACTGCTGAAAAGGTACTTCTACCTTGGACCGAACAGTGCTGATGGCTGGACAACAAATCGCCTGCTACTGACGACAAGCGCCAAAATAGAATCTTTGCCAAGATCTTTCTATCAACATTGAGAAGACTGATGGGGCGCGCCAGTTCTCAATCATTGAGGGGTCTTTACCTTTTGACAGAAGAATTACAGCGGATTGCCTCATGGAGGGAGGGAGCGAACCCTCTTCTAGACAGCTATTAAAAACCTCCGCTAAAAAGGGAGCCAGAATGGACTTAAAACACTTGTAAAATTCAGCTGTCAATCCATCTGGCCCAGGCGATTTTTTGGTAGCCAGCTTGTCTATAGCATGAACTACCTCATCTGCTGAAATTGGTTCTGTCAAATTCATCAAAAGCAATGCGCCATTTCCCAATCCTGGAGTAGAATCCAGAAAGCTTTCCATCCTGTCCCAGCTAAGGTCCTTTCTTCCCAGGAGGTCTGCATAATACGACCCAAAGATCTCCAAGATCCCTGATCTGGACTTTATCAGGGAACCTGTACTGTCTTTCAGGCCAATGACCGTCTTAACTGCTATGCCTTGCTTACAGTTCTGGTACTGGATAAGGATCAGTGAGTGATATTTCCCATAATCCCTCTCCAGAACCAAGGAGGCATGCCGGTCGTATTGACACTTCCTAAGAAGAAGCTTCACTTCAGAGATCTCCCCTGGATCTCCTCCATACGAGACAAGACGATCAAGCTTCCTCCGCAAATGCTGGTAGGCAATATACATACCAAGCTGCTTCTTCTTACTTATGGCCTTGAAAAGTCCAATTGCCCTTTGTTTCACAATCTCCCACCACTATGACTTTACTGCTGCAAAAGTCCAGAATAGAAACCTGTGCCTGAAAAAAATCCTCAAAGGATTGTCTTACCTCTACATCTTCCAGGAGAGCCGAATTTAGTTTCCAGACACCCCTTCCCCTGGGTGGAGTGTCCGAGGCATTCAGAGTCACAGACAGCATACAGTGGTCAGAGAACTCCACCGCCTTCAACTCAGGAGCCGAGAAAAGCAGAGTTCTCCTTCAAAAAAAACCTGTCTATCCTGCTCTGACTATTCCCTCTCTGAAATGTGAACCCCGTGCTGCCAGGGCAGTGCTTAATGTGCACATCTACCAGGCCTGCCTGTCTAACCAAATCTCTGAGAAAAACGCTATCATAACCCAGCCTGTCTATGGAGCCTCCCCCTGTCTATGGAGCCTCCCCTGTCTATGGAGCCTCCCCTGTCTATGGAGCCTCCCCTGTCTATGGAGCCTCTCCTGTCTATGGAGCCTCTCCTGTCTATGGAGCCTCTCCTGTCTATGGAGCCTCTCCTGTCTATGGAGCCTCTCCTGTCTTCAGGCCTAATTATGGTGTTAAAGTCACCTCCAAAGACAACCTGCTGGGACGTAAAAAGGAAGGGCTTGATCTTTGTGAGGAGGCATTTCCTGCCCCATTTTGACTGGGGACCATAGATATTGATCAGGCGCAGGTCCTGCCCCTAACAGAGACGTCTAAGACCATGCATCTCCCCATTTCTACCTCAATTACCCGCCGGCACGTTACCATATCGGTTTTAAAAAGGACCGCAAGGTTCAGCCGCAAGAGACCAAAAGGAGGGACCACATCTCCACTCCCTTTTTGCTAGATAGACATCGGCCAATTTATTGAGCCAGGTCTCTTGCAAAAATAAAATCTCAGTATCAAACTCGCTGAGCAAAAATAAGGCCGTATCACGAGCTCTTGCAGATTTAATGCTGGCGACATTAATGGTCGCCACCTTTAACAGAGTGGGAACTGCCATCAGGATGATTGGGGTAGTTGTTTCTTAACCTCTACCACACTCTCATCCCCCAAAACAACTCTTCAGGCTTTGAGACTCCCCCTCATCCATAGATGGAGAAATGGATATATCCGATACCATCTCATCACCTGACAAAACTGAAAAAGTATTGCCAAGAGGGGACCCCTCCTGGATCTGATTCTGAGGAAGAGAGGGACAGCTCTTCTCATCCTCCTCTTCTTCTTCTTCCTCTTCTCCTTCACCCTCTCCCACCCCCCCTGATCAGCCGAATCCCCCCCAGCAGGAGGTGAGACATGGGACATGGATACCCCTCCCTGAGCCCCATCGGCTCCACCCCCATCCGGCACCCCACACCCAACCTCCTGACCACGTTTGCGCTGACGAGGGACAGGTACCGGAGGTGGAGTAGGCCGAGAGGGAAGATCCACTAAACCAGCCCCCCCAGCAGCTTCCGCCAGTCTGGAGGATCTACGTACCATAGGAACAGGAGGGACAGACTCAGGGGTGACATTACCGGGGGAAACACAATCTGACACAACAGACAGAACAGACACAGGAGGGGCAACAACAGTTTCCTCCCTAGCATCAGCTGCCTCATCCTCTTTATCCAGCCTCTGCAGCTCAGCCTCCAGTCCTGGCAGGTTGTGTAGTGCCTCTGGGCACAGACTGTATGGATGACCCAGCTGCTGGCACAAATTACACCGAATCTCGGTGCATTCTTTGGCCAAATGGCCAAAATCCTGGCACAGTGAGCACTTCTTGATGGTGCAGGATGATGCAAAATGGCCTTTCTCTCCGCATTTGTTACAAACTTTAGGCTGACCCTGATAGAAAATGGTCAGCCTATCCCTCCCCAGAAAGGCTGAGCAGGGAAGATGCTGAACCACATTGCCCAGCACCCTCAATTGCAGCGACACTGTCCAGGCCCCTGTCCATATCCTATGCTCATCCAGGACCTTCCGCAGTGGGGTGAGGACCTCACCATGTCGGCGTAGCCAAACTACCAAATCAGCCTCTGGTATGGATTCATTCCGGACCAGGATTGTCACCGATTTTATCAAAGGCTGTCTGGAAACAACCTTTGCCACCAAACCTCTCCACTGCTGAAGGCTCCTGCACCTCCAATATCTCTCCCAAAACAGGTCCAGGCCTTCAGGTTTTACAAATGACAAATCGTATTCATAGCTGCCGACTCTGGGGCAGATCAACGCAAACACATCACAGGCTTTAAACCACATCTCCAGAATCAACTCCGCCACCCTCCCCCTTACTGGTGGGTTCCCTTCCCCCTCCCACCTCAACTGTACCACATTCCATCTCCTGACCCCACCAACCATCCCACCACCAAACCTCCCCAAATTGTGACCATTTAGTATTCCCAACAACTACTACCCCCACCCCCCTTGGTGCGACTCCCCAAAACAGAAGCATAGCTCCCCCCAATCCTCCCAGCAGCAGAAACATTTGTGTGTCTGGGAGCGTCTGGTGCAACTCTGGCAGATACCGATTGCACAGATCCGGGATTGGATGGTGTATCCTCTCTCTGCTCAGCAGGGGGAGAAATGTCATTTTTACCTCTGTCAGCAAATGCTAACCCCTTCACCTCCACCACCACCAACACCTCCATTGCTTTACCAGTCTCAGCAGTCATAGACTTCACAGCAATGTCCACACTCACTGCTGCAACCATAGAAGCTCCATCAGTCATCTCTTCTTCCAAGAAAGGACACACAGCCCAGGACTGGATTGGATTCTCAGACACAGCAACAAGTGAGACATCCATGTTTGCTATTTTGCTCTCTACATGGTGCAGTGTGTGCTGCTCCCCTCCCCCACCAGCATCAATGAGGTCTGGAGCACACCTGGGAGCTCAGGTGAAACAGTCTCTCTGCAGGTGGCAGCCATCTTGCCTGTAGAGGGACTACTGGTCTCAGCAGGAACAGCAGCAGCAATTTCCATCTGTGGGGTGCTTGCTGCAGGTTCATCCACATTCCCCTGATGGTCTGGAGACCTCTCTGCCAGGAATTTTTTCCTCCAGGTTGGATGAGGATTCCTCCACAGCAGGCTGCCTGCAGAGCTCCTCATCCACAGTACTCACCGCAGCAGGTGGGGCAGACATGCTGGAAGCAGCCATGTTGGTGTACTGGGATCTCTCCACCAGTCTTGGCTTTGCTGCTCTGTACCTCCTCTGTCCATCCTCAGGGACTTCTGCAGGGTCATCAGTGAAGGCAAACTTGTTTGCTCTCAGGGGTGACTCCATGTGCTGGATGAACTTCAGGTTCCATACTCACCCTCAACCCCCTGGCTGGTTGCCACTGGTGATTCCACAGCCTGACATGGGGGGAGAGAGCGAGACGCTGATGTAGATGGTGCCGGGTCATCCATTACCTGAGGCTGCTGATCCACAGAGCTCGCTGATGTGTATGGCTGGCAAAATCTCCTCTCATTTTCAAATTTTTCTTTAAATGCTCCACTTCTTGCTTTTCAACTTTTCTAATAATAAAGATTGTCTCTTTACTTTCTCCTCCATGTGCTGGAGCGCTGGCTTCATGCCCAATCTGTTCTTGCTCCAGCCCTGGCAGTATTTGGCTCTGAAGGTTTTGTGTTCAGATTTCAAACCATTAAGTTTCTCCTCAGCTCTTCCAATAGTCACAAATCTATCGGTAATCTTCTGTCTGAAGACACCGACATCCTCACCAGGGCTGGGACCCACAGTCAGGTCCTCCACCTCCTCCTCCTCACTAGGCCCGGTCTCATCAGGGGAATCCCTCCCAGGGCCTCCCCCTGGATCAGGCATGGTTCCCTGGGCCAAGCTAGCAGGCAAGGCCAGGCTTGAAAACGCTGGTTCTCAGGGAGAGCTCCTTCAGTGTGTCCTCCTCCTTCTCCCACTGACCCCAATGTAAGGGACATTCTTCCCACTGACCCCCGATGTAAGGGACATTCTTCCCACTGACCCCCAATGTAAGGGACATTCTTCCCACTGACCCCAATGTAAGGGACATTCTTCCCACTGACCCCCAATGTAAGGGCATTCTTCCCACTGACCCCCAATGTAAGGGACATTCTTCCCACTGACCCCCAATGTAAGGAACATTCTTCCCACTGACCCCCAATGTAAGGAACATTCTTCTCACTGACCCCCAA